TTTACAAGTTAAAGCAAGAGGAGAATAAGTTTTGAGAGTGGCTAAGGCTACAAAATGAGACCCTGTCTTAAAAAAAAAATCATATATCCATATATATAGGGATACAGGTGGATCCATTGCAACAATAAGATGTACAAGTCATTATGTCGAAAAACAAACTTTACAACTTTGGTGGGGGGTGATGGGAAGGGGAAACAAAGGAGGAGGCAATGATGCTTGATAAGAAATGTACTCATTACCTTGCCCATGTAATTGTAACCCCTCTGTACAGTATTTTCACAATTAAAAAAAATCATATATCCAGCAAATACCTGGTGTAAAGAGAAATTTGCTGGCCTAATGGAGCCTATGGAATTGTTCTCCATGATTGCAGTGGGAAATGCAAGGTACATACTATCCTTTATAGAGCTAAACTACCTTAAATATGTTAGCTTCTGGCTATTTAAATTATTAAAAGTAAAATTTTAAAGTTAGTTGCTCATTCATGTTGAATGTGGCTAACAGCTGTCTCCAAAAACAAAAATCCCAGGCAAAGAAGCTCTAAACACAAACCCCAGTACCATCAAAACAAAAACTATGAGGGATTAGGATATGGATGTAGCTCAGTGGTATAGCACTTGCCTCACAAGTGCAAGGCCCTAGGTTCAAACTCCAGGACAAAGAAAATTGGAGAGCCTTTGTTTCAGAATCTCTGGAGAGAGAGCAGTCCCATCTTCTTGAGCATTCAAGTAGACTTTCATATGCTTCATTGTTAAGTTTTGTATAAAATTTGACTTGGATTTGAGTAGTGCTGTCTTACAGAAACTGCTTTTTCTTAAACATGGATATTACATGAGCATTCTTCTGGGAAATGGAAGTGTGGTTTTGGACATGTTTGTTATAGCTACTCTGTCTATACTTCAGTCTGCATGTCAATGGGAAAATAATTATATAAACATACAAACCACATTTCATAAAAAGAGACAAGAGATCTATCTCATACAACATTTTATAAAACAACAAAAAACTTCACCATCAAAACATGGAGAGTCTTGGTGTCACTGAAAAGAGAATTCAGGAGTTTGACACAGCAAGATTATAAGCAAGTAAAGGAAAGTCGACCTTTAGAGAAAACCATGTAGATAGCTCTATCAGTCTAGTACTCCGAACTGTCAGATACAGTACTACATTAATAGAATGTACCTAACTGTATTTGGAGCGTTTCCTGAAGAAAGGGAAGGCTTTTCCTGGAAACACCTGACTAGGGAGACCTTGCAGGGTCCCCTCATAACCAAGATGGTAACACAAGGCAACACAATTTTCATTACACACTTGTAAGGTCTTTATCTGATTTTTGCACAGCCTTTCACAGAATATCTGAGCAGAAGATTCACAAACATCTTATAATGGCACTTACTGTTTTCCTCTTGTAATTTTGTCTGTCATGGGGCTAACCCTATCCCCCAAACCCTTCAAGAGCATGATGCCAGAAACAAATTTTAGAGGTAGTCAGGAGCAATTCTTTAAATTCTGAAGGTGTGAAGAAATATTGTTCATCAATTGCATTTCCTACATTGACAATTCTTCTGCTGAAGAATTTTAGATTTAAAAACACTTTAAATAACTGAGTAACTGAACTATGCTTGACCTTTCATAGCTGAAGTTCAGAGTGAAATTGAGAGGATTTTTGAACTTGCAAGAACACTACAACTGGTTGTCCTCGATGCAGACACTATCAATCATCCAGCACAACTCAGTAAAACCTCTTTGGCCCCTATTATTGTATATGTGAAGATTTCTTCTCCTAAGGTAAGTAGGGTTTACTATTGTCTGGTCTGCTATGCAATCATTGCCAGGTCTTAAATGGGTATAGCCTTGGAAGAAAGAAATTCGTCTAAGCAGCAGAACATGGTTACTTTTCAGGGCTCAGAGCAGCTATTCTTAAAACGTAATCCATCCATACCTGAGGGTGCTCAGGTACTTTTAGAGGTTAAAGGAAGTACAATTATTTGTGATAATACTAAGCTATCTGCCCTTTTTGTACTGGTTACAATGTCCAAGTATATGACTCTAAGCATAACTCAAGAGTGTGGAACCAAACACACTAGCAGTTACTCTATCATCATGCTCTTGTAGTTAAAAATACATTTTTAAAAGCACGTTTAATAACATAAACTATGTTATTAAACGTGCTTTTATATAATGCAACAAAGGATACATAGACTATGTATCCTTTGTTGCATTATATAAAGGTCAGCTGCAGCATGCAAAAGTAATCTAAAGGGACTGCAGTGTGACTGAATTAGGATCTAAACTACACACTGAATAACAGCTACTTTCATTTGTATCTCAAAGAACAAATCAAGGAAAATATCTTCCTTTTGCTAATACTGAAAATGTCATTGTTGATACTAAATAATGAAACATGTCAACATTTGCAGATTTAAAAGAATCAGCTGTTATCATTTGAATAAACTTACAAATCACAAACCCATTCCAATTCCAATATAAAACCACAGAACTTAATGAGTTAAACACCATTTGGTGAATTTGAGTGTAGTAAGAAAGAATATGCACAATTATCTGAAAAAATGCAATTAAAATAGTTCTCAGCAACAGATAGGCGTATTGGTTTTGTTTATTTCAGCCAAAACAGACCACTGTAGCAAACTGAAAAAGAGAATAGTCTTTGATGTTAATATGTAACACAATTTTTGAATGGATTAAGTTCCCAGTATGATCATGTTGGAAATATTGAAGTCATGAGATAACAAGATTGAAAACTGTTAGCCTAGAAGTAAGTTCTCTGCTAGTGTTTAAAGCTTGCAACAGACTTGTTACTATGTCAACTTTGTGTATAGTCTTTTGATATTTATAACAATCTACCATAAACGACTTGAGCTATTTATAAAAAAAAAAAAAAAAAAAGCTTCCCAGTGTGCCAGTGGCTCACACCTGGAATCCTAGCTATTGAGGATGCTGAGATCTGAGGATAGAGGTTCAAAGCCAGCCCTGGCAGGAAAGTTCATGAGACTCTCATCTCCAGATAACCACCAGAGGCACTGTGGCTCAAGTGTAGAGTGCTAGCCTTGAGCTGAAGAGCTCAGGACCAACGCCTAAGCCCAGAGTTCAAGTCCCATGACTGACAAAAAAGCTCCCCAATTCAGGAATTAGTAATGCATCTTGTACTTTACCTGAGTATAGATACTCTTCTGTTCTTTTACAGGTCTTGCAAAGATTAATAAAATCACGAGGGAAATCTCAAGCTAAACACTTAAATGTCCAGATGGTGGCAGCTGATAAACTGGCTCAGTGTCCTCCAGTAAGTTCTCTCCCTAGAGTAGATCTGCTTGACGAGATCAGAATAAAAAACGAAATAGTTAAGTGCCTCTCAGGAGAGAGAATACTCTTACAGTGATACTGCAAAAAGTAAAATTTGACTTTTCCACAATGTGCGCTAAGTATGTAGCAGCCAGTGATCATCTCCTTCAAACAGCCTGTATATATCCTTGTGCTTTAATATGAGATTGTGGATCCAAATATATGTAAATTGTAAATCTTTAGCGTTGGAATATTCATTCACTTCTGACTACAGGGAGCAAGTAGTCTGTTCCCAGCACCTGTCTGAGAAACTGATTTGAGATCATGTAAAACAGTTTTTTGGGTTTTTTTGGGTCCAGTCGTGGGGCCTGAACTCTGGGCCTGGGTGCTGTTCCTCAGCTCTTCAGCTCAAGGCTAGCGCTCTACCACTTAAGCCACAGCGCCACTTCTGGCTTTTTCTGCTTATGTGGTGCTGAGGAATCGAACCCAGGGCCTCAAGCATGCAAGGCAAGCACTCTATCACTGAGCCACCTTCCCACTCCCATGTAAAACAGTTTTTAAACTATAAGTTAATCAGGTCTTTAGCTCTGAACACATTGACACTAATCTATACTTCACATATTATATCTTGAGACTACAGATATCTTCTAGTGTTTTCTGGTATAGATATTATAGTTATTTTTAAATTTGCTTTACTTATTTTAAAAACTAAGAGGGGCATAAAATTTTGACCAGGTCAAAATGTTAATATTTTCAGCTACATTTTATGTGCTAGTCTTTCCTCAATCATTTAAATTAGGCTTTTTGCAGTCGTTGTATCAAGATGCTTCTCCCAAAAATTTTTTTGGTGCAGCACTAAGGTACTGTCCCTGAGCTTTTCTGCTCCAGGCTATCACTATACCACTTCTGGCTTTTTTGAGTTGTTAATTGGAGGTAAGTGTCTCATGGACTTTCTAGGGCTTGCTTGAAACAGCAATCTTCAAATCTTTGCCTCCTGAGTAGCTGATTACAGGCATGAGCCACCCAGCAAACTGTTCAGATTTTTATCCTTAGCCATAGTATCACTTATTGGTAACTTTCCTACAATATCATATCCTTCGCGCTCTATTACCCCCTGTACTGTGTGGTTAACCATTCAGTGATAAATTAACAACCAAGATGGTCTCCAAAAGGACTCAGTACCACACATAACAGGAGCAAATACACAGAGCTACAGCTTACCAGCTCCTCCTTTCTCATATGAGACTGGGGCAGTACAATGGGAAATCAGTTCTGACTGGTATAAGTATGCTGTCTGTAATGTTTGCCTCAGCAGGAGTCATTTGACGTGATCTTGGATGAGAACCAGCTTGAGGATGCTTGTGAGCACCTTGCAGACTATCTAGAGGCCTACTGGAAGGCTACCCACCCTCCCAGCTGCAGCCTCCCCAACCCTCTCCTTAGCCGTACTTTAGCCACTTCAACTTTGCCTATTAGCCCCACCCGAGCCTCTAACTCACAGGTAAGTACAGTTCTTTTTCATGCTGTCCATAAGGGGGGGAGGGGGGGCGGAAAAATCTGAGGCGATTCACTGGGGTCAAAACTCAGACTATCTAATGCTCTCCAAAATAAAACCAACTTTGGTGTGAGTTGTGTAGCTGTTAAAAAAAAAACAAAACACTGATGGGACTGGGGATTTAGCTCAGTGGAAAAGCACTTGCCTGGTAAGTCAGAGGTCCTGAGTTCAATCCTCAGCTCTGGAAAAACAAAACACTAAATCAAATAGGCTGTAAACAGACTTTTATACCTCACCAACTGCATGATCTTTAAGATAGCAGGCTGTTTGAATTCAAATCCCACCTCTTAGTTCTTTATACGCTGACCTTAGTCAACATGCATGTGTATTCCACTTGCTGCCAGGGTTCTCAAGGTGATCAGAGGATGGATCGTTCTGCTCCTGCACGTTCTACTTCCCAAGTGGAAGAAGAACCCTCCCTGGAACCTGTCAAGAAATCCCAGCACCGTTCTTCCTCAGCCCCACACCACAACCATCGCAGTGGCACAAGTCGAGGCCTCTCCAGGCAGGAGACATTTGACTCTGAAACACAGGAGAGTCGAGACTCTGCCTATGTGGAGCCAAAGGAAGATTATTCCCATGAACATGTGGACCACTATGCTTCACACCGTGACCATAACCACAAGGATGAGACCCATGGAAGCAGTGACCACAGACACAGGGAGCCTCGGCATCGTTCAAGGGACGTGGATCGAGAGCAGGACCACAATGAGTGCAACAAACAACGGAGCCGTCACAAATCCAAGGATCGCTACTATGACAGGGATGGAGAAGTAATATCCAAAAAGCGGAACGATGCTGGGGAGTGGAACAGGGATGTTTACATCCGCCAATGACTTTTTACCCTTTTGTGTTTTTCCTTTCTCCCCGAGTCTTGTATAACAGCAGCCTCAAAATCTTTGGGGTCTTAATTACAATCATATATGACCTGTCTTGTATATTTTCTATTGCTGTTGCATAAGTGGCAATAGCATGAAATAAGAGTATTAATATACATTCTTTTTTTTGTAAGTGCTATACCAATTGGCTTGGTACAGATGCAGTTACTGTGGTCTTGGATAGCTGCCAACCAGACGATGTTAATGGTATTAAGAAATGTAACCAGAAAAAAAGTGGAAATTTCTTGTTTCATCACATTTTAATACCCAGAAACCTGACTGGCATATCCATTCATTCATGGACCACTGTTTCTTGCTTGTACCTCTGGCTGACTAAATTTGGGGACAGATTCAGTCTTGCCTTACACAAGGGGATCATAAAGTTAGAATCTATTTTCTATGTACTAGTACTGTGTACTGTATAGACAGTTTGTAAATGTTATTTCTGCAAACACCTTATTATATATAATTATATATAATATATATATCAGTTTGATCACACTATTTTAGGGTCTTAATGCCAAGTCAGCAGATTTGCTTTATGAATTACAGGGACGAGAAATGTCCACATTCAGGAAATTTGTATTAACATTGTCTAAACATCTACTTACCCCATTCTAATGTCTGTACATACTGTAAATACGTGTGATTGCTTGACTTGAACAGGTTTGATTTCGAATGTTATCCTTATAATTTTAACCATAAATTATGGTAAATATAACCAAACTCCAGAGATTGTTCTACTTTATAGAGTCCACACTGATTGTGACAAACACATTCTTAGTAGCTAGTGTCTGTGATAGTCACTGCACTGGAGTATACAAGCCGGAACCCGCTGTGTGCACGTGTGTGTCTGGATGCAAGAGTGTGTGTGAGTAACTCAGGTGACGTAGAATGCTGATGACGGATGAAGAAACTAGTGACTGATGTCTGGAATTCTGCCCACCTAGCTTTGTATTGTGCTCTATGTGGCTTTAATAACCCTTTCAGAGCCGGGGACTGTGAGGAAAGCTTGCTGCCAAAGGTAACTAGGAAAAGCATTCATCTGCCGGCTCCTTGTGTTTGCTCATAGAGAGTAAAAATGCAGGCATCTTGTACTGTGAGTGTTTCACTGGAAATGTACAATCTTTGTGTGTTAGAGTACCTGTTTTAGTAAGAACTGTTTACACTGCTTGTGGAATTATTTCATAGGAAAATAAATTTTTATAACTTCTCCCATTTCATCTTCTAACCTTGCCTATTGTTCCTGTTGTTTATCTCCCAGTCACCTCCTGTTCCACCCCACCACCAATGTGAACAACTTCCCTGTCTGTCAGAACCCATAAGTGCTTCTTATAACCAAAGTTTCTGCTTTTCAGAAGTTATCAGGGCAAAAAGGGGTGACTTGAAGTAAACGTTAAGAATACTTTCCTATTTGAGACACCTATAAAGGAGAACCTAGAAGACACTATCTCCATTCTTGATTACACTGCTGGAAGCTTGCAATTTTGCTGTACTGAGGCTAAATTTTCTTTTCTATGTCTAAGTGTCCAGTTATGACTGGATAGGTAAGACAGTATTAAGTGTGCATGTCCCAGAAAATACCTAACTTCAGATATATGTATTAAATATCAGCAGTTATAATAACCTATCTTTTGTTTTGCTTCCCCATTATTCCAGGTTCTTGCCAAATATTCTTGCAAGTTTATAAGTAAAACGGTTTTACAATTATTTCCATTATGTCCAAGAAAACAAGTTTTTAAAATGAGTAACTTCGTAGTGATTTCATCAACCTGTTAATTAGCTCTGTACTATTTCTAAGAATTTACAGAAGCCAGACCCCAGTGACTCATGCCTGTAATCATAGCTACTCAGGAGGCTGAGATCTGAGGATCGTGGTTCAAATCAGCCTGGGTAGGAAAGTCTGTTGCGATTCTTATCGCTAGTTAACCACCAGAAAACTGGAAGTGGTACTGTGGCTCAAGTGGTAGAGAACAAGCCTTGAGCAAAAGAGCTCAGGGGCAGTGCCTAGGCCCTGAGTTCAAGCCCCATGACCAAAAAAAAGTCATAGGATCATTGGGAAACCATATTCCATTTAAAGTTTTGTTATATATTATTTATGTTAAGCTTCCATCGTATCAAGATGATCGCCAATCTAATCCTTACCTACATGTTATTTCATCCTAACTGAATTCTTTTAGTATTAACTGCTATTTACCTAACTTGCTGCCCTCACTAAGCCCTTTCAAAGAATAATGTTAATTAGGAGCCCATCTTTTAAATTTAGGTCCTGAGTCTCAGTTTCTCACTTTACAGTAGGGTAGCACAAATCCACTACACTGAAAGATTTCATTTAATACCTTCCTATGTGAAAGCTGTAACTGTGGGGGTATGTGTAAACAGTCTGCAGTGAATCTATAAATGAAATCATCCCTAGGATGATTTACTGACTCAAGGAATGTAAAACTAGTCTTTTCACACAGCAAAGGCTTGATCTTAGCCTACTCAGTTGTAGAATCATGACTTTTGTAGTCAACCTAGGAAATGCTGGAAATGTACTCAATAGTTATATGGTTTTTGTCATACTCATTTCAGTTTTTCCTTTCTCTACTGCTCATTAAGTTACTGTTACCAAAAGGTGCTGCTACATGTAGGATGTCTTAGTTGTGTTGTACTGTGGAACAATGCCACATTTTTAACACGGTCTGCTATGCATTCCTGTTAAACCATCACTGTCAGCTACACTGAACTGTTTAAAAAGCCTGGTTTAAAGTCATTCATATAAAACAAATAAAGAGCTGGCTTCTGCACTGTTTATTAGTAGTATTAATTTCCATTTTAGGAATGATTCTTGTAGTTGAGAATGTGTTACCCATTGACCACCACTTACCTTTGTGGAGTGGAGTATCTTCTCTAGGGCAATGACTATGACTTCATATTCCTTTAGTACTCCTTCCATCTATCTGCATTAAAAGAAACAGCTCAAGGTAAGGAAAAGATTTTAACAAGATACAGCAGAATAATCTCCCTCACTTTAACAGGCACAGCATTTTATTCATATTTGGAAGCTTAAACTTTATTTTTAAAATTAAGATCTAATGAGAAATTTAACCCCTTACCTTTTTCCCTTTTGCTCACTGATGTGCTTCTAGTAGTTTTCAAAATAGTGATTTTATTATAGTCACATTATTAGAAAAGTAACTTGATGGTTCTGGGTAAGTTTCATTTCTGCCAAACTGTACTTTTAAATATTGGTACTTTATATTTCTATTTAAAATGTGACAGAGCTTTGAAGTAAAATTAACTCACTGTTGGGGGTTTAAACACCTTTGGTTTTTATAGAATCATCTGTACTCCCTATTTCCATGACTTTTTTCTTATATTTTTATGTCCCTCAAGAACATTTTATTTTCTGATTAATTTCTGAATTGAAGAAACACACTAAAAGAAAAATTTTATCCATGTTCTTTGTCCAGTTTCAAATATGCAAATATTTTTCTTCAGTTTTGCTGGCATTGTTTTTATTGATGTTAGTCAAAAATATACATTGTGCTAGGCATCGGTGGCTCATGCCTGTAACCCTAGCTACTCAGGAGGCTGAGATCTGAGGATCACATTCAAAGCCAGCCAGGGCAGGAAAGTCCGTAAGACTTATCTCCAATTAACCACCAGAAAACCAGAAGTGGTACTGTGCCTTAAGTGGTAGAGCACTTGCCTTGAGCTACAGAGTTCAGGGACAGTGCCCAGGCCCAGAATTCAAACCCCACGACCTAGCAAAAAAGAAAAAAAAAAAATTGCACACATTTGTTGCTAGGCTGCTTTTGTATAATTTGATCCCAACTTAGCACACTAGATTTTGCAGAAAGCACAAGAAGAAAACAGACTTTAGAGAATTTCTTAAAATACATGTAAATTTGGAGGTGGTATGTTAAGGACATGACATCGAGACACAGGGCAGAATGAAGGATGTAAGGAGTTGTGTATTTGAAACTAGAAAATGTGAAATTTTTCTCTCATTCAAGAAATACATATCGAGTATTTGCTCTGAGAAGTGATCCTAGATCCACGATGCTCCCCAAGTATAATGTGAGGAGGAATAATTAGTAAAATGGATTCCAGCTTGCTGAGAGCCATGAGAGAAACAGACTGGAGTACTAGGAGGATACAGATGGTACTCAAGAGAGTTTGTCAAGCAACAAACCATCTTACCTTATCCCAGGAACCTTTTTATCATTAGGAATAATTATCTATGAAAAATTCCTAATGGAAACCTATGAGGTAAAGAAAAACTATTAGGTAATTGTTTTCCAATTGCCTATTACATTTACCCAATATCCAGTAACTTTTGGGTGATTATAGAATGAAAGCTAACAAAACACACTGATATGTTTAAGACATGAAACAGACTTTCAACTATGCCTGGGTTCTAGATATTTCAATATACCTTATCTAAAAAGCATTTAGAATGAAAGCTAAGGTCATAATCTGCTTTTTAAAGGCTGACATGTACACTGGCCATCACAAGGGGACTATATGGTCACTTTTAAAACCTGAACGATATTCTGATTTCGTCTGAGTTCAGATTTGAGGAGATAGTTATTATTGTTTTACTCTATCACAGATATAGATTTCTGAAGGTGATGTTCTATGATTTCTGTTCACTAGGAGAACATGCTGTGGACCAGCAGGGACAGACAGACCAGTTCTTTGGTAACATGGCTGTTTTTCTCATTCTCACCAGGTACATTCAAGTAACTTGGATAACACATCCTCCGACAAAAGATAAAAGGAATATTCTCATTCACATGTTTTTATCTACAAAGTAAATAATCATTTTTTAGGTTAAAACTTTTAAAAGAGGTTTAACTTCATTTAAAAAGAGGGCTATGCCAGTAGAACTGAAGTTTTCAAGGACTGGTATAGTTGTATAAGGTCACAAGAAGTATTGCTAAGAAGCCCCAATCCTGGTTATTAATCAAGCTAAACAGTATCAGGAACAGAAAGCAAGAATGACCCATCACCATTTACACAATGTCCTATTAATTTCTGACTTTAAACGTTTTTTGTAAATTGATATAAATATCTAGCTCCTGAACACAGTTATGGGAGAGACTGTACTCATTTCACAACACAAAAATAAAGAAGGCTATACCAATTTATAAGCAGAATCAATTAACAAAGTACTTACATCTCAATTATTGCCATGGTAAATGATAGAATTCCCATTTCCTGGATTTTTAGAAAATTTTTAGGAACTTGGAAACAAAACATTTTTCTGTAACCACAATGACTACTAATTTTATTATTAAGACGAACAATTGTTTAAAAAGACTAATATATTGAAGACTTGGTATACTAAAAGACTTCGTAAATCAAAACAATATACCAACTGAAAATGTTTTGGACATCCATAGGCAGCTCCTTTAAATCTAGTGCCCATACTGGAAAAAAAGTTTATAAACCAAGGATACAATTTCTTAGCAAAAGCAGCCCCCACCACTGGCCTCTCTCTCTCTCTCTCTCTCTCTGACCCCTAGTGAAATTTCTAGAAATTTTGTTTCATTAGCAACCGTTACATTTAGTTGGTCTGAAAATACTTTCATTTAAGAACAAGTAAGTATGGAATTTTCACTTCTGAGGATTCTTCTCTAATGTACTTTTACATTTTACAAATTTTGCAATGAAAAAGCCTATACAATCCTTATTTGCAAGTCGGATCATGTCCTCTGTTTTGGCATCTCTGAGGGAATCAATGTCAATGTCCTGTAATGGCACCACAGATGGATCAAATCGCTGCAGATGTCTCAGTTGTTCTAGTGACAGGCCGGCTCCCACCATGCCTTCTCCTCCTACCTGTGGTTCCTGTTGGGAGAAAATGAATAATGGTATCAGTAAGGGGGCCGGGCACATCTAACTCAAAACACAAATTGGGGTGTTCCTATTATATCAGAAAAATACCTTTTACTTTTGTGGAATGTACACAGCATTATTTGGGCAGTGGGAAAACAGGAATATGTAGTCACCTGATCATGCCTGAGTGTGATATTACAAAAGGCCTAAACTTTGGAGTAAGAAACAAATGAATTAAAACAAATTCACACATTTTTAGCTTGTGAGCTTAAACAGCAATTTCATTTTACTCCATTTCTTCCTATGTAAAAGATAAAATTCTCGCCGGGCTCTGGTGGCTCAAGCCTGTAATCCTAGCTACTCAGGAGGCTGAGATCTGAGGATCATGGTTCAAAGCCAGCCCGGGCAGGAGAGACCGTGAGACTCCTATCTCCAATAAACCACCAGAAAACCGGAAGTGGCGCTGTAGCTCAAGTGGTAGAGCGCTCGCCTTGAGCTGAAGAGCTGAGGGACAGCGCCCAGGCCCAGAGTTCAAGCCCCACGACCGACCAAAAAAAAAAAAAAAAAAAAAAAAGATAAAATTCTCAATTCTGAATCTTAAATAAAGGTGGTGGTACCCTGCCTGGTACATAGTGGTAAACAGAATGTTAACAATATTATAAATGGATATATTAATTAAGGATGCATCAATTAGCTTAGAGGAGTACACAATCAAATATTTCAGGGATTCTTATATATTACGACAGTAGAAGATCTTTAATCCTAGTTTAAGTAATCATTACACAGATACTTCTGTATATTAATGAAGACAGGATTTTAACATATACCATGAGATTGAAGGGGAAACATTCCATTTCTTTCCTTTTTTTGGGGGAGGAGGGGGGGTCCGGTAGTGGGGCCTGAACTCTGGGCCTGGGCACTGTCCCTCAGCTCTTCGGCTCAAGGCTAGCACTCTACCACTTGAGCCACAGTGCCACTTCCAGCTTTTTTCTTTTTGCTTATGTGGTGCTGAGGAATCAAACCCAGGGCCTCAGGCATGCAAGGCAAGCGCTCTACCACTGAGCCACCTTCCCAGCCCCTCCATTTCTTTTATGTACAAATTCCATGTGAATTCTTAAGTCTTTCATTACAATGTAGTTGTCTTAATTTCTGAGTTTAGATGCTATTTCTGGATTAATTTATATATTCAAGTTTCCTACTAATATTGTAGGTGAGTCCAAGTTAAATGTTAAACATTTCTGAATGTGAACTTAATTAGAGATTTGAACATAATCTAACAATAAACATAACTAGTACTATGTAAAACAAATTAAAAGAAAGCTTTTTAAATGTTACATATTTTATGTAAGCAATAGCTCTGAACCATATTTTGTTCTGGGTCTTTTGATATCTCAGTTTTTAAGGTCTGAGATAGATACTCACTTTTTCCTTATCAGAAAAATAAACAGGGTAGAGAAGGACTTTTTAAGAAACAAAGTACTAAGTAACATGTAAGATAGGTAGACACGGAATAAATACAAAGGCAGAATATATAACAAGCTCTGCCATTTTCACATAATGAAAAATGCAAAGGGGGAAACCTTGTCATGTGAACAAACTTCTCATGGGTAGTTTAAAATGTATCTAATCAGAGAAATTTGTTAGTCTTTCAGAAGTTTTACAGATTTCTTCAAGTAGCACCCTATATGTATGACAATTCAGTTTGTGATTTACCAAATTAGAAAGAACAGAGTTAGTCTTACCTGGGGTTGAAGCTGAAGGCATGGATATGTTTTAAGGGCCCAGGCAACTTGCTCTTCATTTTCTGCCAGCGTTATAGTGCATGTGCTATAAACCAGCACACCACCTGGTTTCAGCAGCTGAACTGCCTAAAGAAAGATATGATCAAGACCATGCATGCCTCAAGACTAAAAAAAATATCTGAAAAGACCTTTAAAGTATTTGGAGAAATAAAATAATGATTTACTCCTGAGAGTGCAATTAGTTCACATTCCAGACTCGATCATTTCATTAGACCAAGACTCTAATACTACCTTTAAGTTCTATGCCTTTAGATATTATCCTTTATACCGGAAACTCACAAAACTTACTTTTAGACCAAATTCCCTTTCTGAATCAGTTGCCTTCTTAACATTTCTACTATGACAACTGAAATTCCAAAAAGCAACACGTCTTTCTTCCACAACTAATGTATAGTCTTCCTATCCTTCCAGATGCCCAAACCTTAGAATACCCTTTTACTTCTTTATCTGTCACACTCCCCTTATCCACCTGTCAGCACTACTGGCTCTGGATATGTCTCATTCCTTCTACTGCTTCTGTGGCCCAGGCCACTTTGGGTTTTCTTTGTTTTTTTTTGTTTTTTTTTTACCTCAATTACTACAACAGCTAAATCTACCTGCTTATTTCTCAGGCCTCCCATCATCTAGTCTGATTATGGCAGTCATATTAATAGTGTTACTTCTCAGCTTTGTATCCTTTAAAGGCCCTCCTTCAGGGCTGGGAAGGTGGCTAAGTAGTAGAGCGCTTGCCTTGCATGCCAGAGGCCCTGGGTTCGATTCCTCAGCACCACATAAGCAAAAAAGAAAAAAAGCCGCAAGTGGTGCTGGCTCAAGTAGTAGAGCGCTAGCCTTGAGCTGAAGAGCTGAGGGACAGTGCCCAGGCCCAGAGTTCAGGCCCCACGACCGGACCCAAAAAAAAAGGCCCTCCTTCACAAAAAGAGTCAAAGCCAAAGTCCTTAGAGAAGACTTCAAGGCTCTACATAGATAAGTGTGCTACTCTGCCCCCTCTCAACACTTCTCTCCCTTTGCTCATTCTACTTTAGCAACTCGGGCCCCCTCAGCTCTTGGAACATGCAAGGCTTAAGCCCCCTCAGGATACTGCACCAGCTTGGGATGAGGTCCCACTGCTCTGCATTGCTTGCTCCTTCACAATCCTCTCCTTCAATGGATGTCACCATTTCAGTAATGCACTCCCAACTACCTCATGGACAATCCTAAATTGTCTAAACCAGAACTCTTAATAATCCCTTTTCTCTGCTTTAACTTACTTCATAGTACTACTGCCTTGTCATACACTAGTTTATATCTCTCCCCAGTTAAAATAGAAACTCTAGGAATAAAAGCACAAAACCTTTTTGTTTTCTAGATAAGGTCTTCTATAGTTCAGACTGGCTTCAACTTGTGATCCTCCTGTGCTAGGAGTGCTATACAAATTCTAAAATACAGTTATTGTTCAAGACTGACAGAAATCCTCAAATGTTCTACCTAAATTTCTGAAATATACTGGAGATTGAGTAAATTTGTCAAGTGTTATGGTCCTCCTACATTTGCATTAGAAACTATCACTTCCCATTTTTAATATTTTTGCCTCTATTATTAGACTTCCTACTCCTAATATACTACCTAAAATGTCTCCCAAAACTTATAAAGTAATTATAGCCAGCAGCTATAATCCTAGATGCTCATGGTTCAAAGCCAGCATAAGCAGGAAAGTCCATGAGACTCTAATCTCCAATTAACCACCCTAAAACCAGAAGTAGCACTGTGACTCAAAGTGGAAAGTACTGGCCTTGAGCACAAAAGCTAGTCTCTGAGTTCAAGCCCTATGATCAACAACAACAAAAAAAAGTAAGTTAAGCATAAAATTATTTTTAAAAAATTAGAAACTATACGTGAACAACTCACTTTTTGAAGACAGACACAATATTTGAAATTTGTTAAATGTCTTATGAAAAAGTTCTACTTTTGCTTGTATTATTTAAAGAGTGAATTAACATAGAAGAAAGTACCTTACATTTAAAAACCAGGACCAGGTATAATGGCACAGGCCTATAATTCTGATATTCAGGAGGCTGAGAAAGGAGGATTTCGAGTTCAAGGCCAAACTGGGCTACATAATTAGACTAGTCCTACAAGACTAAAACAAAATCCCCAGATCATCTCAGTCTTATCTTTGTGCGTAATGAAATATGCATAACACAAAATTTACTATTTTATCACTTTATCTGTACAATTCAATGACAGGGATTATTATTTCTAGCAACCTTTCGTCATCTCACTCAGAAACTACTAAATATTACCTCCCTGTTCTTCTACCTTTTCCTCTGATCTAATTTTGTCTTTATTAATTTACCTATTCTAGTTACCTATTTTATGTGGTTTCATAAAAACTGGATAACTGTATTTAGCATCATGTCTTCAAAGTTTATATACTGTAGCAATAATGTATATTTTTTCTTTTTTTTTTTTGGCCCGGTTGTGGGGCCCGAACTCCGGGCCTGGGCACTGTCCCTCAGCTCTTCAGCTCAAGGCCAGCACTCTACCACTTGAGCCACAGCGCCACTTCCGGATTTTTTCTTTTTGCTTATGTGGTGCTGAGGAATCGAACCCAGGGCCTCAGGCATGCAAGGCAAGCGCTCTACCACTGAGCCACCTTCCCAGCCCCTAATAATGTATTTTTTTTTAAGACTGAGTATTTCATGTCTGGACATAACTATATTCTGCTTATCCACTTATTTGTCAATGGATTCTTGGATTGATTCCACCTTAGAATAACAGTGTTATAAACACTGTTATAAACCTATTATAAATGCTGCTCTCAGTGGAATATGAACATAGAACTAGCAAAGGTCAACTTTGCTAACAGCAAAAGGTAATTATTTACCACAGTAAAGAGTTTCCGCTGCAGTGGTTGATATGATGTCACTTCTTTCAAAGTCCAAGTACAAGCCATATTAGGCCTCTGTCCCATTCCACTGCAGGGTGCATCAAGGAGAATTCGGTCAAATGATTCTGGTAAGAACGGAGGTACATCTATAAAAATAAATATAAACATTTTTCTGTAGTATTTGGTATAACACAGAAAAATCCTGAAGACACAAGCAATGGCTAGCAATTTAAAAATCTTACCTACCAACATTCTTTTCAAAGAGATTAATTATAAGCATTTTGACACATACTGGTAAAATCTCTCTAAGAAAAATCCCAATCCATACTTTCATTACCACTAGCATACTATTTTCCAAAAATTCTAAATCAAAACTGGTGTTATTTAATTGGTCATATATATTATCTTCTTTTTCTATTTTTATGGTCTGGGAGATTTACCTCAGGCCTTTGCACTTGTTAGCTAGATAAGCACTCCAGCACTTAAATCATGCCCCTTTTTTGGCTTTTAGTTCATTTTTCAGAGAGTCTTCACTAACTTTTGCTGTTTTTAAAAGTTTACTTTGTTATTATAAAGATGATGTACAGCAGGTGATGTACGTGAGTCAAGTAACAAGTCCATTTCCTTTTGTACAGTGTCTTTGTTCCCTTACTTTCTCCCAGTCCCTCCCTGCCATCTCTACCCCCAAATTGTATAATTCATTTCATCAGGGTCCAGTGAACTCCCCTGATGCACTTTTTCACCTTTTTTCCCTTGAGTTCTCTACCTGATGCCCCACCCTCCCAAATATATAAACATGAACACACCATAAAGAGACATCAAAAAATAAAAATTAAACAAAAATAAGTAAAAGAAAAAAAGAGATCTCATTTCCATCTTAGAGGCCGTTTTGATATATACACACACACATATATATATATATATATATATATATATATAATTTTATATAAAGAGTCACACAGGCATTGTGCCTTTGTGTTTCTCTCCTAGGAGTACTTTGGTCTCACTGCATCTAGAATCCTTTATAATTTATCATATACCAGTGTATTTTAAATCTAATTTCCACATATCAGAGAGAACATGTACCATTTATCTCTTTGAGCTTGGCTAACTTCACTTAATATGATTTGTTCTAGTTCCATCCATTTCATTGCAAATAACATTATTTTGTTCTAATAGCTGTATAAAATTCCATTGTGTATAGGTACCACATTCCCCCCTACCTCCACGCCACCCATCCTGGGGCTTGAACTCAGACCTGGGCGCCCTACCACTTGAGCCACAGTGCCAAATCCAATTTTTTCTGAGTGGTTTATTTAAGAGTCTCATGAGCTTTTCTGCCCATGCTGGACAGAAACGCAATCCTCAGATCTCAGCCTTCTGAGTAGCTAGTATTACACACATAAGCCACTGGTGGCCAGCTAGGTATCACAATTTTTAAATACACTCATCTATTGTCGGGCATCTGGGCTGTTTCCACATCTTGGCTATTGTGAATAATGCAGCAATGAACATGGATGTGCAGGTGATTTTTTTTTTTCTTGGCCAGTCCTGGGGCTTGAATTCAGGACCTGAGCACTGTCCCTGAGCTTCTTTTGCTCATAGCCACGCTATCATTTGAGCCACGGCACCACTTCCAGTTTGTTTATGTGGTACTGAGGAATTGAACCCAGGGCTTCATATATGATAGGCAAGCACTCTACCACTAAGCCACATATCAGCCCAGGTGTCCTTATCATACCCTGGCTCATGATGTGGCTCATGATGTTGAAGGTGGACACCCAGGAGTGGTATGGCTGGGTCATAGGGAAGATCTATGTTTAGTTTTGGGGGGAACCTCCAGACTGCTGTATTACCACCAAAAGTGCAGTAAGGTTCCTTTTCCCCCCACATACCTGCCAACGTTTGTTGTTTGAATTCACAAGGTTGGATAATCTAACTGGGGTAAGTTAGACTTTCACAGTTGTTTTGATTTGCATGTCCTTTATGGCCAGGCATGTTGAGCATTTCCTCATGCGTTTCTTTGTCATAATTACACCTCTTCTTCTAAGAAGTGTCTCCTTAGCTCCTTGTCTATTTAGATTGATTTATTAGGCTTGGGAGGGGTTAGTTTCTTGAGTTCCTTGTATGTATTGGATATTTAGGCCTTTGTCTGATGTATTGCTAGTAAAAATCTTTTCCCAGTCTCTTGGCTGTCGTTCTAGTTTAGTAATAACCTTAGCTCTGGCTAAGGATACATTCAATCCTACTACATTACAATGCTACTACACCTCTGCCTCCCAAATAGCTAGGATTATAGGCATGCACCATAAGCTACAACATGTGTTTTTTTGTGCCCACACATCCTTTATATGCTTTTTCCTTTCCAGACTTTCAGTAAGCAGAAAAACCCTTTGTACACGAAGATATTAATCTTCCCTATATTTTACAAATATTTTCCACAGTATTACATTTTAACACACCTACATTAATGTTAAATATGAACGGTTTCTTCATTGTTGAGTTCTATCTTTGCATTCATTCTTTAAAATGCTCTCCTATGATACCACGTAATGTTCATCTACATCTGCTTCTAGTTAGTTTTACAGTTTTAACTCTTGACATTAACCTCTAATCATCTGGAAATTCAAGTTTTGTAAACAAAACACAAAACCCAAGAAAGCAAAACAAATAATAACCTCAAAGCTATTTATTGATCAATTCTCTCTCCTCTGGAGTTGGAATGCTTTTATCATACTCAAAATTATTTGTACACACCTGACTTAGTGGTTTTGTTCTGCCCTGAAGTTGCTAGGTATTAGCCTATTTTTTTTCTGAACTATAAACTATAAATTTATCCTTGCATATTCTCTGTGATAATGCTGGGGTGTGAACTCAGCAAAACAATCTTTTCTCTGTTGGCTTCAAAAACCACCAGTAGGAATAATGGGAGAGGAAAGAAGGATGGAAAGCAGGAAGAATAAAACAGCACTTTCTCCTTACAGATTATTTGCTGTCTTCCTAGCAATAGCTTGTTTCCCTGTTATTAGTGCTCTGCAGCCATTACCTTTAAGTATTAGTATGGACTAGACAGAGCCATCTACAGGGATACTACAACTCCCGCAAGTACCCTGCTCTGAAAGTCTGCAGGATCAAGCCACAGCTAGGCAGTATGCCATTCCTGGTAGTTTCCGAGCCCAGATGCAAACAGTGTTTTGGTCATGGTGAATGACTCCTCTGTTTCTCTAGTGATAGAGGAAGGGTTGCTCCCTGCAGTTGTCACCTGTAGGCTGCCACACTGCTGCCCTTTTGCTTTACAACATCTATTTACCTGGTTCCTCATATTGCTTATTTACACTAAATTGTCCCTTGTTAGTGTAAATTTACATTAAATGCTTTATATTAGAAACTTTGCAGTTTGGGTCTTTTTGTTTTAAATCCTGTGGTCAAAAGAAGTTGTCTAAAGCAGCTGTCACTAGTTTCCTTAATGGCCAAAAACACTATAAGCCTGCAAAATTCCTTTTTGCCTGAGGTCTGTATTAACCATGACAAGGCAGCCAGGTTCTCACTCCACTCACTTGTGCACAGCCCAACCACACAAGCAGCCCTGCAGAGGGCAGTGTAGTGCCTAACCTCACCACTCCAGATCAGCATGACTACTTTCATCAAGGACACCACCGGAGGGCTCCTAGTGAATTTAGACAGGCAAATAGTCTCTTATTCAAAACTAGAAAGAGTATAGATTTCTAAGAAGTATTTATACTGTTTAAACTCGCATTTTTGTCTATTAAATGCTTTTTTGCTGGGCACTTGTGGCTCATGCCTAAGCTACTCACGTAGGCTGACACCTGAGGATCACAGAAGCCAATCCAGGCAGAAAAGTCTATAAATCTCTTAATTCTCCAATTAACTAACAAAAAGCCAGAAATGGAGATGTGGCTCAAATAGTAGAGCATCAGCCTTAAGTGAAAAAGCACAAGGTCCTGAGTTCAAGCCCCAGGACCAGACACACACACACTCACACACACCACAGCTTTTCCACAAAATATATACTCTTGCAACTACAAAAAAATTTTACTTCAGGGAGGTGTGTAATTTGGTAGTAACTATTTTGAAATGTCTTCTGAATACATCACTTAGGAATAGTGATAACCTATGGCATTGGAACTCTGACACACTCCTTTCTATTTGAAGTTGGGAGATAAGTTTAACTCATCTGGCACAGCCCAGAAGAGTCTCTCCTATCTCCTAAAGCTCCAGGTCAAAGAATGCAAGGAATGTGGTGGCTTGGTAGCAGGTGTAGTGTTGTAAGCTTTTCTCATCTGGCCTATCTCCATTCTGCACACAGGCTGACTTCCACGTAAGAGCAGCTCTCTCTCTCTCTTCACTCAGACCCTACGGCAGGTGGAAAGTTGTACCCTAAGCAGAGCAGGCTGAACTAAAACCGATTTGCTCAAGCATCAAGTCATTCATGGTGAAGAGGTTCAAAACTAGGGGAGGTGGGTCAAAACTCCCACAGGCTGCTGCTATCCAGTCCCATGGGGCTCCTGAGCCAATAGTGTTACTCTTAGAGAAACAGGTCACTGTATTGCCCCCAGCTCTGGAGCAGATGATCAGAGCTTTATCCAAGGAGAAAACAGAATGAACAGTTCTGAAAACCTCTCTAAATGAACTGACCTTACTGGAAAGTTTAAAACTCAAGACACTCTTGAAAATGAAAGAGCAGAAAGCAATTAACAGGAGGCCAGGAGCTCCAAGAGAGCAAGAGCTAACCAACACACAAGGCAGCAAACTACCAAAGAATCAAGGAATGAGTGATGTAATGAGAAGAGCCTTAGGAAGGTTGGGGGGGCGGGGGCGGGGGCGGGAAGAGGCTTATATAGCCTCAGGTGCTAGCCTCAAGGATTACCAATACAAAGGGACCCAAAGTCTTTGGATCAGATAGGAGATCAAATTATACCCCACAGCATTGTTAAAAACGAAACAAAACAAAAAAAGATCAATTAACCTACAGTTAGCAGAGTGTAAGTTTGTGATATCTACTGAAAAACAAAGATTAGAGAAAGAGACCTAGAGAGATCTGCTGTACACAAGCCCAAGGCTTTGAAGGAATAACAGCAGAAATGGTCAGAAGTTGAAATGTACCTCACTAAAATTTTAAACAAAA